TATTTTGCAGTACTGGAGCTTGAACTCAGGGTCTACACCTTGAGCCACTCCACAAGCCCTTTTTTTGTGAAGTGTTTTGTCAAGATAGGGTCTTGAGAACTATTTGCCTGAGCTGGCTTCAAACCTCGATCCTCCTGATCACTGCCTCCTAAGTAGCTAGGATTACAGGTGTGAACCAACAGAGCCCAATGGTCAAGGTTTATCTAACATTTGAGACAGGGTCTCACTGCATAGTTCAGGCTAACCTAGAGCTTGCCATATAGCTCAGACTGGCCTCAAATTTACTATGCAACCTAGCTTGGACTTGAATTCTCAAGCCTCCTGCCTCAGCCTCTCCAAGTGCTGGGATTACAATTGTTTGCCTCCACACCTGGCTTTTTAATCTAGCATTCTTTTCCCAAGCTATGACTCCTATCCCCTATTTCACACCTAGAAGTACTATGAAGCAGTTCCCTGACCTGCTGAATACCAATGCTAGGCCAGTTTCTAAGCCAAGGAGAAGCATCTGCCACCCATTCATGTCCTCTAACTTCATAGTAGGTGCTCAGAGCTGTTCTGGGGAACCTGTGTCAGATTCAGGGCAAGAAAAGCTCTTTAGCTAAGAGAACCTCTTAGCATCACCCCCTCAGGCTGCCCTTACCCTGACATTTTTGGAAGATGCTACAATAGGACACAGGCAAGAGAATAAGAAATATTTATTCTCAAGCAGTAAAGCAAAAGCCATGTGAAACTGCAGTGGGTTCCCAAGAATCTGGTGCCTATGTCCATGAGCAAGAGAAACCTGAAGAGAATCCATTAAATCAACATCTTGGGTGGTGTCAGAGAAGGAGGGGTCAGTCCCTTCTCACTTTGCAAGTGAGAAGCTCAACATCATAAACACTGTGTAGGAGATTCAACCCTGATGCCACCTATTCCTTCCAATCTTCCTTGTGGATTTCTTCCCAGATTATTTTGCATAGTGAAGCTAATTTTTGAGACACACATCCTTTTTGGAATAAGAAGGTGTAAAATCTATAGCATTTCTTCTATGCTCTCAATACAGCCAATGACATCCCAACACTGACTGTGATGGGACTGATGGAAGGAAATCTGCTGCTAGCCTTTTCTTTTTTTTTTTTTTTTTCTTCTTCAATGCTGGGGATTAAACCCAGGGCTTTGTGCATACTAGGCAAGCACACTACCACTAAGCTACACCCTCTAGCTCTGCCAGCCTCTTCTACCTCTGATAAACCTGTATATCTTTGCTAAGCCTCTACCCCCCAGTAAAAGACAGTACTATCACTTCCTTTTTGTGATTTAAGAATCTATGGAATGGCTGAGGATGTAGCTCATGAGAAAAAATATATATATAAAATTTACTACTAAATTCAAATACCACTTTTTTTTTTTTTTTGAGACAGGGTCTTGCAATGTAGCAGTGGCTGGCTTGGAACTTGAGATCCTTCTGCCTCTGCCTCCTAAATACTGGGATTACAGGTATGTACCCTCATGCTTGGCTTGATAGGGTTTGAATTACGGTGTCCCCTCCAAAACTCATGTAGAAACTTAACTTCCAATACGACAGTACTGAGATGTGGCCTTTGGAAGAGTCATGTAGGAATCCTGAGAGTGGAATGAGATCAGAACCCTTACAAAAGGGCTCAAGGCAAGGGCATGCTAATTGCCCTTTCACCCATTCTGTCACATGGTCCTCCCCTCCAGAGGATGTAGCAACAAGGTACCATCTTGGATGCAGACGCCAGCCTGCTGGTGCTTTAATCTTGGACTTTCCAGGCTCCAGAATTGTGAGAAATAAATTTGTTCTTCATAAACTACCAAGTCTCAGGTATTTTGTTATTGCAAGACAAACAGACTAAGACACATTTTTATGTTCTACCAATCAGACTTTTCTCTGTCCACATGACTAACATACTTCCTTTACTCTGGTCAATTTACTTTAGTCCCTAGGGCACTCTTCTTGTCACTTGCAATTCTGCTTTTGTTACATGCAAACTCCGTTTCTCCACAAAACTTCCTCTAGCCTCAGAAATTCTTACATTAATTCTGGACCCCAATGACTCTTTATATGAAACAAACTACACGTTGAATAAGAAACAAGACACAAAAACCACAAAGAAAGAAGACCCATGTCCGAGTCCCATGTAACTCTTTTTGTTTTGGGGTATTTTTAGAGTCAGGGTCTTGTTAAGTAGTCCAGACTGGATTCAAACTAGTGATCCTCCTGCCTCAGCCTCCTGAGTGCTGTGATTACAGGTATATGCCACCATGCCCAGCCTCCAAACCCTATTTCTATACCTTTCCTTTTCCTAGGAATAGAATGTGAAGACTTTGTATTTACTGGCATCAATTTTCTTTCTAAATAGTTATCTCACATCCTCTGGTTACCAACAGAAAAAAAGTAATGTGAACAGCCTCTGGCAACTGAGCAGGGTACTTAGCCTGTGGAGATACTCCAGTTGCTCATGTTGGAGCAAGACCAACTGAAATATGATAGTAATGTCAGGTCATAACTAGCCTAAGGAGTAACACATGACTCTTTAGCAACCAAAAACATACTGCTACTTCCTTTTTTTTTTTTTTTTTTTTTTTGGAGGTACTAGGGTTTGAGCTCAGGGCTTCGTGCTTATGAGGCAGGTGCTCTACTACTTCAGCCACACCTCCAGCCCTTCCTTCTTAAATTCATTAATGTTTTAGTAACATGAACACTTCATAATTAAGTTCAGTTAACATCAATAAAGACTATATCAACAACTGGTTAGTTCTTATGCATACAGCCAATGAATGACACCAAAAAAAAAAAACAAAACAATAAAATCCATTGTTTATGGACAATAAATATATCCAAAATTTTCCACTGGAACAAAATTTTCTTTTCCTGAGTTTCTCTGTTCTAGGGCACAGTTTATCATTTCATATACACATTAAGTATTTACTAAAATCAGTAAAAGAATCCCTGGGGACCAACGCTCATCAAGCTCAATACATCTTCACATCACCGATGTTTCCAGGCTGTACAAGGTCACAGCAGGAGCTGTGGACATTCAGCCCTGGGCTCAATGCCAGATAGGCACTGGTAGGAATGAATATGGACTGTGAAGGAATGTGGTCTGCATTGGAAGTGGGGTGACATTGCAGAGCCATTCACAGCAGTGGGTCTTACCTTTTTAAAAGATGCATAATCCTGAGTCTCCCCAACGAAATGCATTTAAATTCAAACTAACGTATATCCTTCAGAAACCCATCCAGTGAATTCTTAGAAGTCCAAGACCCTAGGTAAAGAACTGTTGATCTACACTTCTCCCGGAAGCCCATTTGTTCCTGCTACTGAAGAGTCTGTTGCACACACCTTCCCATTTTTCCTTCTCAGACTTAGGGCTACAGTATTGGATGGGTTATACATATTGTGAGGACAGTGGTCAGTATGCATACTAGTGAAGAGTATAATTCTTTAATTATTATCGTTGTTCTTAGTTATTTCAGGGTTGGTCCACAGTACTTCAAGGGAACATAAAATTTCTCCTCTTCTTGTAAGACTCCTAAGATGGTTGACCAGCAGTGTAGAGAAAACGCTACGTAGTCAAGTATGTACTGGGGGAATGTGACAGGAAGGAGTATGCTGGTCTCTTTGTGTAGTGTCAGATTAAGGAGACCAGCTGGAGAGTGGCATTGGCCTCTTCCTTTCCTAGATCTGGCTTTGAAACATAGATGCCTACAAGAAAGATAGGAGATTAGCTCTTATCATATAAAATTCATCTTCTAGGGCCGGAGATATAAATCAGTGGTGTAGTGCTTGCCTAGCCTGAGGAAGGTCTTGGGTTCAACCCCAGAACCACCAAAAAAAAGAAAGAAAGAAATCCTCTTCTAGTATCTAGATAAAGTGGTCACTCTGCATCAAGGTCAAGGCCAAATGCTGAAGAGGACTTCGGATGAGGTTTCAGACTGCTCTTGCAACTGAGTTTCATCTCATCTTGTTTTCATTCTGTGGGTATCAACAGCCTTGGCCAGGAGTGAGCAAGTGTTCATTTCTATTGTTTGCTCTAAGTATTCTACACATAGGTACCAAGGTAAGATGGCAAAAAGGCCTTGGAAATCACTCTTGCCTTGGACAGATGAATGGCTGTAGTCCATCTTGTCCTTCAGTTGTACCTGTTTGTATTCCAGGCACTGTGAACACAGATGTTCAGTACCCCTTTCTAGTCAAGATGCCCAATATCTGTAATCACTCCTCAGCTCTGACAAAACTTGCCTTTTGACATCTTCAGGCAAAGCAAAAATTTTCGACTACTGCTGAGCGCGTCTGGAGCTGCCTTGATTGAGGATGGCCATCAGAAACTTGAAACCACAATTTTACCAAGGATCCAAATATCAGATAACCTTTTATTTACTTAGGGTACTGAGGGTCACGGCAATGTGAGGGATGTAAAAAAAGAAAGATGCTGCAAGTGCCTGTGAAATCAAGTTTTGTGGTAAGCTAGGGCTACCATTAGTTCTCCACGGTGACTCCTCCACAGGACTTGATAAAGCACAAGCAAAAAACCCACCAGTGATTGGACTTGAACTGCACACAGATTGGACCAGCTGAAAAGAGCAGGTCATGGTCTTGAGGCACAAACCTGCAAACAAAGGCCCCACAGGTGGCATAATGGTCCATCACAGAAAATCCTTTCCTGGTGTGGGCATTAGGAAAGAGGGGCTGGCAATACTCAGAGAAGCTGCTCCATGCCAAATCCTAAGCAGCAGTTCAAAGACCTCCTCTGCTGCATATACAATCCTCCAGACACAACTGGATGGGCTTACACACCTATCTTACTTGCAGCCTTTCCCTCTGTGTTCCCTCTTCATCTCTATGCTGTCATTTCTGAAAGAACTCGAGGCTGGACTGCATACTCCAAGCCAGAGAACAGGCAGGGGTTGTCACACAGTATCCTAGGCAAATGATTAGCCACAGCATCTAGACTTGAGTAATGATGAGTAAAACGCTGGCCAAAAAAATGAAGGAATTCCCCAAGGTAAATTCTGTATATTCATGCCTAATCATCCAAAGTTGCGTAAACAATTGTTCTACCATTCCCCATCATTTGCACAACTTTTTGTCCAGTCCAAACGTAATTTTGAATGAGGTAGGTAGTTTTTCTACTCGTGCCTTCGTCTTTGAGGTGACCATCAAGGCCTATGCCATGAAAGCACTAGTGTCCCGAGCAAGGGCAGGGGCAGCGCAGAGAGTGGGCACCAGTGACTGGTGGAGCTTCTCAGTTGGCTATTTTCTCAATCTCATCCAAATCATCTGTGTCCAGTCTTTCTATCTTCTTATCTGGGGGAAAAAAAGATTTGAAGGGAGACCAATGTGGAGTTACTAAGGAGACACAGTTGAAATCACCTAGACCAGCACAGCAGGGATATGGAAGGACACAGTTCCCTGCCAAGGCACGCATCATACTTTGGGTCACAGTGATGCTTCCTCTAACCACAAAAGAAGGTCTTCAGAGGAGGGGGCAACAGGACCCTGGTCACTGGCACCGACAGTCAATGCCCTGTCTCCCAGCCTGGCCTCGGGAAAACTGCCATTCTAGTTCCTGAAAAGGTCCAGGTGGTGATGAAGGGAGGGGAGCGTGAGCAGGGACACAGGCCTCTCTCAAGGCCACAGGAAAACCCTCCCTTCCTCTCCCCTCCACAAAGAGGATGCTGGGCAGAGCACCTCCAGGGACTCACTAAAATGCTCCTGGATTCTGTTCAGGATGTCCATGCTGTGCTTGCTGTCAATCATGTTCACAGCCAGGCCCCTCTTGCCAAAGCGGCCGGTGCGCCCGATCCGGTGGAGGTAGGTCTCATTGTCTGGGTTCCCGTCCTTGTCCACAGGAAGATCGAAGTTGATGACGACAGACACTTGTTCGACATCGATACCTGCACGGTGGCAGGGGGAGGAGAGAGACAGAGGAGTCAGGGTGGGACACAAAGTCACTCACAGTCAGCCATACCCACTTCAGGTGGAGGGAGGGGGACCTGGGACAGGCCAGCTCTGGATGTAGGCACAAGAAAGGGCGCATACAGGCCTGTAGCAGAACCGGGGAGAGGATTCTGGCACTGCCAAAAACCCCTCTGAAGTCAGAAAGCAAGTCTCTAGACTCAAGCATCTGGAGACACAGCTGAATACCCGGTGGTTTCCAGGAAAAGCAGGCTCGGTTCCCAGCACTCAGAGCCTGTGCATCTCCTTCCCCAGGGCAGCCCTCCTGGATTGTGTATCAGTTCCCGTCACTTGGGAAATCCAGTCTCTGCTGCAAAGAAATGTCCCTACCAAGCCCTGAGACCATGGAAATGAGAAATTCTCTTGCTAACATGGCCAGGATCCTGAGCCTGGCACACCAGGAAAGTCTCTGCTCACCGCGGGCACACACGTTGGTGGTCACAAGAACCTTCTCTTTGCCCTCTCGGAAGCGCTCGATCACAGCAGCCCTCTGCTCCACCATCATTTCACCACTCAGCAGAGCCACTTGGTGGCCTTCTTTTGAGAGCTCTGCTGCCAGCCAACTAGCTGTTTTGCGGGTCTGGAGTGAAAAGTATTGTTTTAAATTAAGAGACCTATTAAAAAACATATATGTATATATATATATATATATATCCACAAACATGTGGCTTATCACTATTACAATACACAAGGACTTGAAACTCTGGGGTTAGGCTAAAAATTCTCATATAGAATTTTATCCATGTGATTTGTTTAGATGAATCAAATAACTGCTCTTTAAATCTTGGAAGACTATGAATTGAGCTGCAGAACTTCATTTCTAAATAATCTGTATCATTCATGATTAAAAATTATATAATTGGATATTATTTGGGATTTTTTTTAAGGTATTGGGCCCCTGTGCACAGACCCTGTGGTCTACCACTGAGCTACACCTACAGCCCATAATTTGGCGTTATTTTTAAGCAGTCTTTAAAGTGGGATGAAAAAAGTTCACTTGAAACTCAAAAACCCAAGGAAACTGACTAGGAATAGGGGACTGTCATTTCCTTCTTTACAGTTTCAGACAGGGGGATTAGATCCTTCTCACCCAAGAGGAGTGGAGCGGCTCTGCCGGCCTGCAGCTGCTACTCACATGGCAGAAGATCATAGCTTGAGCGATGGTGATGGCCCCATACAGGTTGCACAAGGCCTGGAACTTCTCGTCTCTGTTACTGCACAGGACGTAATATTGCTTGATGGTGTCCAACGTCTCCTCCTCACGCTTCAGTTTGATAACATTGGGGTCTGGGACCACTTTCTGCGCAAACTTCCACACGGAGTCTTCAAAGGTGGCGGAGAAAAGCAGCATCTGGCAGTTCCTGGGCAGCATCCTGTAAGGCGAGGCCCAGGCAACTTTGCTCAGCCTCCAGGTTTTTACCGCAAGGAACAGAAGCTCAGTCTCCCCTGTTTGGGTGGGCTATGGCCCCAGCAGGCTGTAAGGGGTGAGGGCAAAACACCTCGGGCAGGAGGAGCAGAGCCAGGGTGGTGCTGGGCTGGCTTAGGGGTCCCAGGTCTCCTTTCTCAACCAGGCTGGAAGCATCGTCAGTGCTGATGAGGAAATGGCCCACCAAACAAGTGCTGCTGCAAGTAGCAGAATGAAGAACCCAACAGAAGCAAGCGGAGGTGTGTCAAGATCCCCCTGGCTCAAGCTCCTACCTCTGGATGCGGATGCTCTGATCTTGGTGGCCCTGAGTAGCTATCATCACGTCCGCCTCATCCAGAACAAACACCTTGATCTTCTTGGGGTCAATGAACTTGAGCTTGGAGCACCAGTCCAGAACAGTGCCAGGAGTGCCGATGACAATCTGCTCACTGATCTTCTGACCTCTTTCCACTGTGGAGATGACATGTTTTCTGTGGGTATTTCAAAGGCAAAACCAGAACTCCTCTCTGATATCCTACAGCTATTATGTATTTAATGCTTTTTTTTTTTTTTGTAGTGGGGTTTGAACTCAGGATCTCACACTTATGAGGCAGGCACCCTACCACTTGAGTCACTCTGCCAGTCCTGAGCTTTTTTTTGCGGTACCAGAGTTTGAACTCAGGGCCTACACATTGAGTCACTCCACCAGCCCTTTTATTGTGATTAGGTTTTTGGAGATAAGGTCTTGGGAATTATGTGTCAAGGCTGGCTTTGAACCATGATCCTCTTGATGCCTGTTTCCTGAATTGCTAGGATTGCAAGTATGAGCTATTGGCGCCTGTCTGTAACTCTTTTTGCTTTATTCATCTTTAGTTTTACAACTAAACCTAACTTAAGAAATGTTGCTCAGGCTGGACAATGGTGGTTCATACCTGCAATCCTAGCAACTCAGGAGGCAGAGATCAGGAGGACTGTGGTTTGAAGCCATACCTTTTAAATAGTTCAGAGACCCTATCTTGAAAATACCCAACACAAAAAAGGGCTGGAGGAGGGGTTCAAGTGGCTCAAGTGGCAGAGCACCTGCATAGCAAGTGTAAGGCCTTGAGTATTGCAGCACTTGTGAGGCAGGAGGATTGTGAGTTTGAGGACAACCTGGACTACATAGTGATATCCATCTCAAAAAGCAAAAATAAAAACAAACAAACAAACAAAAAACCATTTTAGCACAACTAGGGAAGAAAGAAAATGGATTGGATAGTAGTTACTCCAGGACATGTCAATTTCCTTGGTTGGACATGGGTGTCTTAGGTATGTAACTGTCCCTACGAGACGTGTGTTGAAGTATTTCATAACGAAGAGTTACTGCATGTGCGATTTACTTTCAGATGCTTCAACAGAAAATGTTCATACACGTGTACAGATAAAGAAAATGTGACAGAATGTTATGTTTTTAAATTTAGGCGAAGAAAATACACGTGTTCATTATACTATTTTAACTACAGGGTATATTGTGAAATTTTTCAAAATAAAAAGTGATTGGGTCACTGATTCAGGATCACACACTCATACTCACATTTATTGCCTCGAACAGCATAAGCTAACTTCAGTTCAGGGTAAAATTTGCCCATTTGTTCTATCACCTTTCCTGTTTGAAGGGCGAGCTCATACGTTGGGGAGAGGCACAGACACTGGCAGGGAAAGAGTGCATAATGAGAGTTCAAGACAAAAATCTCTTTTGCTAAGGGAAATTCTCATTGGGGCTTATCCCTGCAGCTGAAACTGAAGGAAAAAATTATAAATGAAAATGTACTCCTTTTGGTTCTTTAAGCACCACTCATAAACTAGAATTTTTAGCGGTCAGGACTCTGGCTAGGACAAACACTTGCAAATAGCCATTGGCCACTGGAGCACAAAAACCTACCCATGAGCAAGGATCTGAAATTCCAATTAGAAATTAGCTTCCTTTTCACTTGCTCCAAAAGTTCTCATGACTTTCTTTACTTTTCTGAGACAGGGTCCATTGTGTAGCCCAGGCTGGCTTCAATGTCATGATTCTCCTGTCTCAGCCTCACAAGTGCTGGGATTATAGGTGCCTGCCATCATACCTGACAGTTTTCAGAACTTTCTAAGTGGGAACAGTTGTAAATGAAGGAGATTTTTGCTGTAAGTAAAAGTCAAGCCTGTCAGCAGCATCATAGAACTGGCAGGTTATGGAAAGTGGAATTAAGATTTTTGTTGCCACGGAAAGATCAATCAAACTGTTCATCCTCAACTTGAGTTCAGTTTATGTAAAAAGTAGTAACACAGCTTGGTTTTTAATACATCAAATGGAATTTCCCTTCTAGTTATACATTAGTAGAAAACCAAACTCTGACAAGTCCTTACCTGGGGGTATCTATTTGCAGGTTCTACTTGGCTGAGCATGGCCAAGACAAAGGCAGCTGTTTTACCAGTACCAGACTGAGACTGCGCAATTAAGTTCTGTGGGCTGTACAAGAAAACAAACTGTTTAGGAGCTTAAATATCAAGTAAGTTTTTAGTTAATAAAAATGAAGAATAAAGCTTAAAACAATGAGTGTTATAATTTATTTACAGAAGGTGACCTCTTGCAGCAGGGTTACATGTAATAGTTTTACAGTACAGAGCATTATAGAGAGAAGGTTTTATTCTTGGATTTGAAGCACTCCCTATCTTTTATCTGTTCTCTATACAGCAGCCACTGATTCTAATAAAATCTGAGTCAGCTCATGTAACTTTTATGTACCAAATCACTCCTCATTATATTCAGAGTACAAGTTAAAAACCGTATGATGGTCTATAAGGTCCTACCCAATGTGTTTTCCCAGTACCAGCTCACATCTCCTACCACTCTCTTCCTCCTTCCCTCACTCCAAACCACCACGACAGGCCCAATGTAGCTCTGGCAATGTGTCAGCCATACTCCAGTCCAGGGCTTCTGCACTGGCTGTACTCTGCCTGGGACAATCCAGGGACAACATACTCACTCTTTCCTCTCCTTTATATCTTTGTGCAGCTATCACGAACTTGAGACCCTACCTGAAGCACCTGATTAAAAGTGTAACCTACTTTGAGATGCCTTAAAAAACAAGACATAGGCTTTCAGTGACAAGGCCTGCGGAAGGGGCGGCAGGATCTGCATTCAATGCCTTGAAGAAGCCCCTGAGCAGTTCAAAGTAGGCCAAAGAGATGAAGGAGGAAGATACAGCTCTCAAACAGGAGCAAAAAGAGGAAGAGAAGATGAATCTAATCCAAGTCCCTTATATGCAGGTACAAAATTCGTAATGAAACTCATTATTTTGTTCAATTCATACCAATAAAAATACAAATTTAAAAAAGAGAAGCAGAAGAAACTTGAGGAGCTAAAAGTGAAGGCCAGTGAGACATACCCTGGTCACAGGGGAAAGAAATTTAGCAGCTGGGCGCTGGTGGCACACACCTGTAATCGTAGCTACTTGAGAGACTGAAATCGGCAGGATTACTGCTCAAGGCCAGCCTAGGCAAATAGTTTGAAAGACTCCATCTCCAAAATAACCAGAGCAAAACAGACTGAAAGTATGGCTCAAACAGGAGAGCCACTGCTTTGTAAATGCAAACTCAAAATCCTGCCTCCACTTCCCAAGTAGTTAGAATTACAGGTGTTTACTACTATGCCCAGCTTTTTATAAGGGGATTGATTTTTTAGTTGGTTTTTTTTTTTTTTTTTTTTAAGTGGGGGAGCAGTACTAGGAAGTCCTCAGGCTTGCTATGCAGCACTCTACCACTTGAGCCACTCTGTCAGCCCTTGGCTGTTTTTTTGAGAGTTTGTTTGGCAGTTCTAACAAGGGAGCATAGCTACTCTTATACCCATGACTATGAATGGTCCTCCTCTTTCAGAGAAAGTCATCCTCTTTGACCAATCGCACAGCTTCAGGAGGAACACTGCATAGAGAAGTGAGAAAAGGGGACGCAGCCTAGCCAGCCCTGGCAATCAATGGCATGACAGATGTTGCAGCCAGATCACCCTCACACCTTGTTTGTTTATGTTTGTTTTGGTTTCTATTTGAGTTTTTGAACCAGTATTTGCTATGTAGCCAGACTGACCTTGACCTCTCCATGCAACTCAGACCTACTGAAATCAGAATGTGTATGTAATAAATTTCCATGACATTCATGTGCCTATGAAAGTGAGAGAAGCACTGTACCAGAAAACAATCTCAGTAATACTATTCAGGTCTCCTAGAACCCTATTTTGTTTCTGCCTACTATGTTTGATACAATTTTTACATATCCATATAATGAAATCTTGGTGTATATGAATTAGTATACTAACTAACACAGAAAGAGGACTGTATAATTAAGTTTAAAAAACACAGTATATAAAATATTACATATGGAGCCAGGCACTCGTGGTTTATGCCTGTAATCCTAGCTACTCAGGAGGCAGAGATCAGGAGGATTTTGGTTCAAAGTCAGCCTAGGCAAATAGTTCTGAGAGACGGAAAAAACCCTTCACAAAAAAAACTAGGGCTGGTATAGTGGCTCCAGGTGAAGGCCCTGAGTTCAAACCTCAGAATCACAAAAAAAAAGTCAAATCATATATATATACATATATACAAACATACATATTGGCAGCACTAGAAATCAAACCCAAGGCTTATATATGCTAGGCAATTGCTTCACCACTGAACTACATCACCAATCCCTATGGTTCCATTTATTTAAACTCACACACACACACACACACACACACACACACACACACACACACACAGAAAAAAATTCTCAAAGTCTGTAGTCCAAAATGTTGACAGAGTAGGAAGAAATTATAGATGACTTCTTTTCTCTTATTTCTCATTGTTTTCTAATTTTTCTACAAAGAGCATGAATTACTTGCATAATTTTTAAAAAGAAAAAATTTAAAAATATAAAGTAAAAATGAAGTAGAGTATTATCAAGTTACATACGGTTCAGCAAGCATCAAAGGCAATGCATTTTCTTGGATTTTGGATGGACGGTTGAAACCCATAGCATAGACTCCTTGGAGAAGCTGTGGTTTCCTAGAAAAAAACATTAAAGATGACAATCACAGTCTCTTTGATTGGGGAACATAGCAAAATATCTGGGAGATTTTTTTTCCTCTGTTATATGTAGTTTGGAACGAACAATGGTTGACTTGAACACAAGCCAATGTGTGAATGCAGCTAAAGCTTTTACAGAGAGTCTGGAAATTTTACTCAACAGCCAAAGCAGCTAAGTCCATGTATGTATTAACACTGTGTTAGTTAAAAATCTACTGTTATATGAAAAAATACACATACCAGGTCTAGGATTGATATCTAAATACAAGAGCATGAGTCAGAAAGTAAGGAAGTACTCACAGGCGAAGCTCTTCGAAGGACTTCACTGAGTAGAGTGGGGAGTTCGGGTCCCGCTGCAGGACTTCCACTTGGTTTGTGTTATCCACAAGGTTGCTTCTGATCAGCTTGTTAAGTAAAGACTGGGCAGCTCTGTCTTCTGTCAAAAAAGAGAGATTTTTAAAAAGTCTATGAAACCCACTGTGAACTTATTTGAATTCAACTGCCATTAGTTTTTGAAGTAATAACATGTATGTGTACTAAGTCTTCAAACTGAAGGCACATCCTAGCTTTAATTTATAAATTAAATTAAAAATTTCTCTAGGTATATAAACCATTGGAGTTCTTTCACCTCCTGATTACATAAATTGAACTTTTATTCTGGCACTATGACCCCCATTAAAGTCAAACCAATTTGGGCATAAAAATGAAGGCTCATAACAACTCATTTTCTTAGAATATAGAACTGCATTTATAAAGCTTTAAAGCTGTGTTACCTTTCTCTTCTTCATCTGTCTTCTCTGCATTAACACTGGTCTTGACAACAGCACCTTTTTCAGAAACAAAGTTATTGTCATTAAAAATCCTATCCCATGTCCAGCATCTGAGACTATGAGACTACTCAAATTCTAGGACAAAAAAAATTCCCAAATTCTAGCAAAAAATTACATATATATATATATATATATATATATATACACACACACACACACACACACACACATATACATACATACATAAATGAGGAAAACAAGCCACTTTTAAAATATTTCATTGTGCCTAAATAAGCAAAGTTTTTTTTTAAATAAAGTTTTGAAATACTGTTGCTTATATTTAAGTCTTTCCTATTCCAGGTCACCTTACCCTAGCTCAAAAATCAATGCTTATTTTCCTCACAGGATCAACATTTCTGAAATACTATAAAAAGATTATAATTGTAGCCAGGCATGGTGGCTATGCTTGCAATCCTAGTTACTTGGAGGCAGAGATCAGGAGGATTGCAGTTCAAGGCTAGCCTGGGCAAAATGTTCAAGAAATCCATCTCAACCAATAAAAGCTGGATGCGGTGGTGTACGCCTGTCATCCCAGTTTCATGGGATGTGTAAATAAGTGTATCATAGTCCACGATACCTGGGCATAAAGTGAAACACTATACTATCTTAAAAATAACCAAAGTAGGCTGGTGCAGTGGCTCAAATGGTAGAGTGCCTACCTAGCAAGCATGAAACCCGGAATTCAAACCTAAGCACCACCAAAAAAATAAATAAATAAAAAATAACCAAAGTAAAAAGGGCTAATATATGGCTCAAGTGGTAGAGCACCTGCCTAGCAAGCACAAGGCCCTGAGTTCAAACTTCAGTACCACACACACACACACGCAAATACAACTGCAATGATTAGAAAGCACCTTGGTTAATTTGCATGAATACAGCAGAGTATTTGTGCAAATCATATTGTCAATATATGAACACAATGTCATTAAAAGTCTAGATACATAGAAATGTAACAGAAATGTATAGTCAAACAACACTGTAGTTATGTAAAATTTTACACAAGAAAAATATACAAAAAAGATGATAGAAATGTTGCAACTACCCCTCTTAGGTTATTTATTTATTTATTTATTTATTTATTTATTTATTTATTTTCAGTACAAGGATGGAACCCAGTGCTTTGCGTATGCTAGGCCAGCATTCTGCCACTGAGTCACACTCCCAGTCTTCATCCTTAGATTTTGGATAGATACAAGTTCAGAATATTAGAACAGATAAACTCTCAGGTTGGTCATATTTTCTCCATCTCACCCAAAATTGAAGAACAGTTTAAAAAAAACACAACAAATTAATCTTTGGAGGTACAGTGCTATGGTGAGTAATAAATTTAATAATTTATAAGCCAATTAAGTATTCTCACTTTTACATTAAATACAATTTGGTCATTATACTCCAGTTTATTGATTCCCAAATCAAATGAATGCCAGAATCTGCTAGACCCCTATCTAGTGCAAATACAATTTTTTCCAGATAGTTGTTATGCCAAAACAGAAATACGAAAGGAAATCACATTTGTTTTCAAACTAGCTTTTTTTTACTCACCATTGGCATCTGGTTTGATTTTCTCTTCCTTAAGATGCAAGTTGCTCAACTAAATGAAGAATATGGGGGAGGGGGGAAATTGTCAGGAAAATCACTTAAAAGATTTTGAATCAACAGTGGGAGAAAAGCCACTCAAGACCTACTCACTAGGTGCATTCACAGAAATGAACTCACACAGCTGTTCTGCTGGGTCCCTTTCACTTACTAAATGTTTGCAAATAAAATTTCCCCTGAATACAGCAGTAGAAAACCATGACTCCACAGCAGCTCAAACTCCACACTTCCTAATTACAATTTCTATAACTCACATTTATAATTTGTGAGCTTGCTTAATGCCTTGATTACAAAGCCTCTCCCAGTGTAGTATCATTAGAGTTGTCATTTTCTCATGTTCCAAACAAAAGTAAATATAAAGAGATACTGGAAAATCAGTTACCTTTCAGACAAAGCACACAGAATAGGAAGGTCTAGGATGTAAAGCATAAAGCATATGTGGGGAGGACAGGGCCCTGCTGCAGGACATGTTCAAGCCAGAGCACCTCAGCACGATCCTGCAGCCTCATATTCAAGTAGCTTAGTGCTGGTGCTGACATTCTAACTGGGAACAGCGTGGAGCACTGAGGCACAGTGTGTAATCAAAATACCCCCCAGCTGAAGTGAAAATAGAAAGGAAGAGACACATCAGAAAAATATTTCAAGAAAAAAGTCATTAGGACGTCATCAAACACCATAAATTTAGGGATATCCGGGTAGAACTTGTGTCCCCAATTAAAATGCAAATACCTCAATGACAATTCTATTTGATCTAGTATAAAGTAGGTGCACTAGTTATAAAATATTAAGTGGGGACTAAGACATCATCTAGTAAAGGGTGAAAGAATGAAAGTCCTAATGAAATTATTTCTTAAACCATCACCAGGTTCTTTGTGTCTTGAGGTTCATTTCCATCTTTCCTTTAAGTCCAAGAAGAAGGGAAAGAGGAAGAAGGGTGGGAAGACAGGAATGAAAAAAATTATTTTAATAGGTGGTAAGCTGAGAATGGAGGAGCCCCACTTCTATTCACAGAAACTAGCAGAAAGTTTTGGCTGTCTGCTTGGTGTTGGGGAGAGAGGAGCAAAGGGGGAATACACTCAAGAGACCAACCAGGAAAGAAATGGGGGGGAAAAAAAAGCATCATAAAGCAGTAAAAATCCTCCATTAATCCCAAAAGACAGAGCACATATTAACAGACAACAGCACAGGACTTGATATATAGTGGCTGCTTCATACACTTCAGTGCTTTAATGCTAAAGCACTCCCCTACATCCTGCCAAGCGATCTCAGTTAAGTCTAGTACTCAGGATCTTTAAGAAAGAGAGATGAGACAGAGAGATGGGAGAAAGGGAGGGAGAAGAAGAGGGAAGAGAGAGACAGGGAGTGAGCGACTGGCAATATTTACAAGAGTAAGGCTAGAAATACTCATTCCTATGGTGACAAATAATTGCTAAGTAAAATAAACAACAGGGCTGAGATATAAATAAGTTAATGAGGTACAAGTAAAGTATAAATGAGTTAGTAATATCCATTACTATAAAGCATTTTAATACTCAATGATAAAAAGAACATTTAATGACATAAATCATTCTCATTGATATATTGTTCAAACCAAAGTTAGCAGGATTCAATTAAATGAGCAGAAAAGTTGCTACCAGCAACTGCAAAGGAAGTCAATAAATGTTTGGGTTTTTATCACAATGTATTGGGGGGGCCCTCACTGGTGGCTCATGCCTATAATCCTATCTATTATAAGAAAGACAGAGATAGAGACTGGGAGGATAGCAGTTCCAAGCCAACCCCGGGAAATAGTTAGATCCTATCTTGAGAAAACCCATACGAAAAAGGGCTGGTGGAGTGGCACAGTCTGTAGACCCTGAGTTCAAACCCTAGTACCATAAGAAAGAAAAATTACCAGAACTATTTGAAATGTGTGTGTGTGTACATATTTATAGAGTATTTATCTCTATACCAGCTAATAGTATGGTGTTTCCTAAGTGTATATTGTGCCTTAAGATATTGGCTAATGAAAATATGAAGCCTACTGGGCGTGGAAGTGCTTGTGCTCCCGGCACTCGAGGCAGAGGCAGGAGGATCTCAAGTTTGAGGCCTTTAAAATTTGGGAGGAAAATAATTTACAACATTCAACTAAAGAATTCTGAGGGCTGAGGGCTTAGCTCAAGGTAGAGCATTTGCTTGACATGTGAGGCCCTGGGTCTGATCCCCAGCATGACTACATAAATAAATAAATCTCACAAGTCATAAAAGCTCTGGAAAAAAGGAAATGAAGAAAAAAACAAAGAGGAGGAAATCAACAATGAAATTATTCAAGAAAAGCCAGGCATTGTGGCTTATATCCGTAATCCCAGCACTTAGGAGACTGAGGCAAGAGGACTGTACGATCAAGCCCACCATTGGTTATATTAGTAGACAAAAAGAACAACACCAAACCAGAAATAATTTTTTAAAATCCCCATAACTGATGAATAAGTTTTTCAGACTGGAAGATCCTACTCAGCACCCAGTACAATGAATGAAAATAGATCCATATCAAGAGATCAAGAATTTTTCTTTTTTGAAACAGGGAATTAGGAGTGGTGTCTCACACCTGTAATCCCAGCACTGGGTAGGCTAAAGCAAGAGCATCCAAAGCTATATAATGAGACTATGTCACAAACAACAACAAAACTCACAAAACAAGACAGAAACAGGATCTCTCTGTTACCCAGACTGGCCTAGAACTTTGGACTTAAGCAATCCTCCTGCCTCAGCCTCCCAAGTAGCTAGGACTGCAGGAGGGTGCCACAGTGCCTGGCCAGGAATTTCCTGAATACCAGAGACAAACACATATTTCTCCACGTTTAGAAAAGAAGAGAAAAAAAAAAAAAAAAAAACAAGCTGGGCATGATGGTGCATACTTGCACTGTCAGAAACTTGGAGGCTGAGGCATAATGATCACAAGTTCAAGGCCAGCCCGGGCTACATGAGGAGACTTTATCTCATCCACTCCCCAAAAAAAATTTTTTTAAAAAGCCATGTCAAAGCTCTGAATGGTCTCAGACATCCCAACAACTAAAAACATAGATGTCAACAGAATAGAACAATGCCTTTAAAATTGGGGAAGAATAATTTACCACCAACAATTCTACACTCAGCAAATATCCAAATGATAATGCAAAATAAGATTTTTAGTTATCCCTTATCTTTAAAATTTTTACTTTTCATTCACTGGGAGAAAGCTGATATCTGCACCAAAATAAATACATCAAGAAAGATGAAGAAAGGGGATCCAACCCAAGAGAGGAGAAGGGAATTCCCAGGATGAGGTGGAAGGCAGTCTGCCCTGTTCCTCCCAAAATGAATTGTGCTTACACTTGGGGTGACTAGGACAGTTTTAATCAAACTGTAGGCTTGAGAGAGTTGGCACTCACAAAATGCTTGATGTGTGTGAACATCCTAAGATAAACAGACCACGAACAAAGTTAAGGCAATCAGGAGGGGATTTGCTGACTGCCTGAATTTGAAGTTGAATGGATATCTTCTTAAAATAAAGTGAAACTACAAAGCGATTAGAAATTCCAAGAAAAATAAGTTTTATAGAAAAGTAAAAGCATTCATGAGTAAATACAAACATGGAATATTGATCCAATTAAAATTATATTATAATGAAAATGTGGTATTGATTGAAAAGCATGCATGTGTGGTGGGAAAGGAAGATGGAGGAAAAAGAGTCAAGACAAATATCTAAAACTAAGAATTCAGTAGGTAGCAAGGCAAGCATGTTATTTAGGGAAGAAGAGGGGAAATACTATCAATCAGTTTCAAGAGAAAATGTAGCTGCCTCTGTGGAGAAAAACATCGGCAGGAATAACTGTTTTTAAGGCTATTTCTCTTTAAACTATGCGCTAACAACTTTACCATCTATTAAAAATAAGACAAGGTGTGAACTCAAACCTTTTCTCTTTGAAAGTTAAAAAAAAAAAAAGACAAGGTCTTTGTTCTCAGGGAATTCACAGAAATATGTACTAAGAGAATTAGGCTTCAAAAGTCCTACCAGAATTCAGAATGTCTTGGTGCGAGAAATCAATTTTACATAGTAATGTTTAACTCTTACTACGATTACTATGTATCAGGCTCAGAAACACGAACAAAGTTAAGGCAATCAGGAGGGATTTGCTGACTGCCTGACCCACCGCGTCGATCATTCATCAGTGAGCAAGCTGGACGAGGCACACAAATCTAAGTAAGACATGGTCCTGAGCCCAGAGTTCAGATCTGAAAATGGAGCCTGAGTACAAATCAGGGTGATTAGTGCAAGCCATGATCAGTCTTGATTCCAGGAAGACAGGCAAGTGGCTGGACACTTTGCGGAACTGTAGGACGCACCTGAGTTTTACGTAACGCTGCAGGCAGGCGGGTAAACAAAGCCAAGTTCAAGGTCCAGGCTCCATCCCTCCCCATGCATCTCTGCAATGACCAGCCTACTCAAGTGTCTTTTCCCAGGGACCAAACCCGGGACAGAACTGCTTCCTTGACCCTTTTACGGCAGATGACAACTCACCGACTCGGCCGCCGCTTCCTGCTCGTCCACCGCCAGGGCCCACGAGTCCGTAGCCATGGTCCCCAGCGCAGGTGGGACGCTAGCTGACTCGCCTGCTGGCGCGGCGCGATCTTGGGCCCCGGGGCTTCGCCGCGAGCCGGAGTTTGGCTCCCCCGCCGGGGAAGTCATTAGCTACCGCGCTGGAGGCCGGAAGCGGCGCGCCGCAGTGACGTCAGAGCTCCCGCCGCTCGGCCGTCTCACCGCCCCTGGGCTCGTTCACACGCTCGCCCTTCACCCCCGCCCGCGCATGCCTTCTTTTCCGAATTAGGACGCTGTCTTCAAACGCCTGAACTCAAAGGCGGCAATCGCATTCCCGTCCAGCGCAGAGGCATGGAGGACGTCCCATCAAGCAGAACACCATTCCACTTACTTCAAAATGCATAAGCAGGCAGATCGCTATTGCACTTTTCAGGTTGATTAATTAAATATTTAAATGCCCAGTTGGTAGACTGGAGGTGTGGCTCAAGCGAGGCCTGAGTTAAAATCCCTGTCCCACCGAAACAAAAACAAAAACAAAAACAAAACACCTGTTTAAAGGCCTGAACGGTAAAGAGTTGTACCACAGACCACATGACACCACCACTTACAGGAATTAAGCTTTGAAAAGCTAGACAAGTGTTCCCGGAAGGGCTAAAGAGACAGGAAAAAGCAACAGGTTTGTGGAACAGAACAAAAAAGTTCCTGGAGAAACTGCTAAGAGTAGATTAAGTAATTAAAGATAAGTGAGGGCTGCAGGTGTGGCTCAAGTGGTGGGGTGCTTGCCTAGCACGTGCAAGGCCCCGAGTTCAAACCCCACTACCGCCCTCCAAAAAAAGAATGAATAAGAGATATTCGCTTTCCTTAACCAGAATCAAACAAGTGTCCCTCCCCTTGTTCCTTCCGTAGAAAAAAGCTGGACATTTTCCTGAAACTCGAAAATGAATTCTCTTGGCAATATTCTACTACAGTAAATTAATCTCAAACAACGGTGGACAGGTGAGGATGTGCAAATAAGAAAAAGGCAAACACAACCTGGGAGCTGTGATTTAAGTTTGAAGTCACAGCAATCCTGGAAAAATGTTGCTAGAGAAATTTTGTTGTTTCACAGGGCTAAAGAAGGTTAAGGAATTTTCCAAACATAGTTTCATGAAGTTAAAAATTTCATCATCCCAAGTGCAAGACTGTATATAATAGATTCCACTTGTGCAACAAAATAAAACAAATGATCTCACATATGTGCTTTGTATATACTACAGAAAATACATAAGATACATATGAAACTGACAACTGGAACTGCTTCTGGGTAAAGGGTTTTCTGAGGCTAAGGTGAGAAAAGACTTCCTTTTTTGTTGTGTACACTTTAGCCTCTGAAATTACTTTCTATGTCCTTGTTTTCCTTTTTAAAAATGTTTTTTGGTGCTAATGGGGTTAGAACTCACAGCCTTTTCTCTAGGCAGCCGTTCTACCACTTGAGCCACTCTGCTAGCCCTCTTTTTATATGTTAGATTTTTTGTTGTTGTTGTTTTGGTGCTACCAGGGTTTGAACTGAAGGCCTCAAACTTGTTTGGCAGGCACTCTATCACTTGAGCAACTCTGCCAGCCCTTTTTTTGGGTGTTGGGTATTTTCTAGATAGGGTTTCATGAACTATTTGCCCCAGCTGGCCTGGAACCACAAGCCTCCTGATCTCTGCCTCCTAGGTAGCTAGAATTACAGCCAGGAACCACCAGCACTGGGCTGTGTTGGGTATTTTTGAGATAGGGCTTCAATTTTTTGCCCAGGCTGACCTCGAACTGCTATCTTCCTGATATCTTGCCTCCCAAGTAACTAGGATTACAGGCATAAGCTACAAGCACCTGGCCCATTTTCCTTTTTAAAATTGTATTTGAGACAAACAAGAGAATGATATACCAAATACTGAGGCTTCCATCACAGGCTTAAAAAATAAAACAAGATTCAAGAGAAAGGCTGGAGATGGAGCCCAGTGGTACAGCACTTACTTGTCTAGCACATTCCAGGTCCTGGGTTCAACCCCCAACACTTCAAAACAAAACCAAAACTTCAATTGAAGCACCCTGTACACCCATCCCAAGAGATAAAAGCTATCCTGAATTTGGTGCTTATCCTTCTTGTACATGGTTAGCAAGTGTTACTTTATCTATTAACGCAGAAAGGAAAAAAACACTTTAAAAAACAAACATCCAAAAAGAAAAAAGCAAACAAAAAACCAAGCATCGGAACTCTAGATTCTCCTATGTCTACCCCAACATATATAAGCAATGTGAGACTCCAGCTAAGAAAGAACTTGGTAGTCAGGAACCAATGACTCAGGCTTGTAATGATAGCTACTAGGGAGACTGAGATCGGGAGGACAAAGGTTTGAGGCCAGCCTGGGCAAATAGTTAATAAGATCCTCATCTCTAAAATAATCAGGACAAAATGGACTGGAGTTTTGGGTCAAGAAGTAGAGTGCCTACTTTGCAAGCATGAAGACCTGAGTTCAAGCACCAGTCCCACCAAAAAAAAACCAACCAACCAACAACAACAACAACAACAACAAATCTTTACTATCCAAAGTGGGGCATGAAGAAAGTGAAGAAAGGAGTGTTAGGGAAGTAAGACCATCTGGCTTCGAATTCAGGGGCCATATTTACTCCCTCATGGCCTTAGGCAGCCTCCATTTCCCCCAAGTCATGATTAGTACCCGCTTTGCATTACAGGGTTCTACAAGACCACAAGGGTCGGGGCCCAGTGCCTGGTTTATAGCAAAGGTTAAAAAACAGTACTTTTTATTATTATCCCCCTCCTCCCAGGGGCAGGAGCAAGGAAGATGCCTAAAGGCGAGGAAACAGGGTCTGCTTCTACTCTCACAGATACTCACGCTGCGCACTGGCAGGGACAGTGGAAACCGTCCACTGGCTGTGCCTCCGACACGGCCAGTAGCCCCAGCCATCGCTGCTCAGCATGGCGGTTAAGCTCGGGCAACCGCTGCTCATCACCCAGGCCAAAGCCAAACCTCATTGGGTGAGGCTTGGTCCCGCCCAACCAATCAAAAGAGGGGATGGAACAGACTGCACGTGTGCGCCAAGGGATGTGGGGGCCAAAGACTACAGCGAGCTTCAAGCAGAGGGCTCCTTTACTTAAGGAGTTTTTACATGGTTGCTGAATGACTCCCTAACTGAGAATTACATGAGGCGGGGCAGGTTGTCTGCTTTTTAAAATGTTTATCCTTAGGGACTAACACAGTAGGCACACATTGAGTGAGTAAATAGCTGAGGTATATGCATCCTTCAGGTAGATCAAACATTTTAAATCCTGTCACTGGGGCTGGGGGTGTAGTTCAGTGCTTGCCTAGCATGCATGAGGCCCTGGATCCTATCTCCAACCCCAAAAGGAGGGGGGCAGTAGACAGGAACTATAACTCATTATAAGGTTGTTTTAAGGATCAAAAGCTTAGATCAGAACTAGGTGTGTGACGCATACCTGTAATCCCAGCACTCGGGAGGCTGAGGCAGAAAAATAGCAAGTTTTTTTATTTATTGTTTTATTATTCATATGTGCATACAAGGCTTGGGTCATTTCTCCCCCCTGCCTCCACCCCCTCCCTTACCACCCACTCCGCCCCCTCCCTCTCCCCCCACCCCAATACCCAGCAGAAACTATTTTGCCCTTATTTCTAATTTTGTTGTAGAGAGAGTATAAGCAATAATAGGAAGGAACAAGGGTTTTTGCTGGTTGAGATAAGGATAGCTATACAGGGAGTTGACTCACATTAATTTCCTGTGAGTGTGTGTTACCTAGAAAGATAGCAAGTTACAGAAACCTAAGCTACATAGCAAGATTCTATCTCAAAAAAAAAAAAAAAAAAGGAAGAGGAGAAGGAGGAGGACAAAAAAGAATGCTTAGGCCAGCGCCTATTGTATATTAAGTACTCAACAAATGTTAGGTAAAATGATTACTATTAATGAGTTGCTGTGAACTGGAAAGCTAAATCAAGTGATTTATTTTTTTCTGGCTTTCAAACTTGATCTGTTTGTAAAGGATGCTCTTTTAGGGGTTGGAGATATGGCCAAGCAGTAGAGTGCTTGCCTAGCAAGCTCAAAGCCCTGAGATCAAGCCCATCAAAGTTTTGGATTTTTTTGTTTTGTTTTTTGGTGGTACAGGAGTTTGAATTCAGAGCCTCATGCTTGTTAGGCAGGCATTCTACCATCAGAGCAACTCTGTCAACCCTTTTTTGTGTGTGTTGGGCATTTTTGAGATAGAATCTCGCTTTTTGCCATGGCTGGCCTGTGTCTGAGATCCTCCTGATCTCTGTCTCCCGAGTAGCTAGGGTTACAGATGTGAGCCACAGATGCCTGGCTTAAGGATGCTTTTTTACATTAAAAAGTCATATTTTTTTCTGCCATGTGTGTAACCAAGTTATGATCAGTAACAATTTTACACCTTGCATTTGGGTATACCTGATCATATAGGGTAATGAGGTGATTAAGAGTACGGGCTTTGGAATTAAATAGGCAAAAGTAACTCTGTAACTATGAACTTGAGCAGTTTCCTCACCTGTAAAAAGGGAATACCAGCAGAACTAAAGCACAATTTAAAAATAAAATAAAATAGTTGGGGTCCAGTGGCTCATACCTGTTATCCTAGCTACTTAGGAGGCTGAGATGGGGAGGATTTCTGTTGGAGGCCAGCTCAGGCAAATAGTTCATGAGACCCCCATCTCAACCAATAGCTGGGTGCAGTGGTATGCACCTGTCATCCCAAGCTACTCTGGAGGCTGAGATCTGGAGGATTGAGGATCTAAGCCAACCCTGGCCAAAAAAAAAAAAAAAAAAAAAAGAGACACCCCCCCCTTCCCACCTCAATGGAAAAAAAGTTGGGTGTAGTGTTGCATCTGTAACCCCAGCAAAGGCAGGAAGCTTAAAATAGTAGGATCAGGTCCAGGCTGGCCTAGGCAAAAAAGGGAATGGAGGCGTGGCTCAAGTGGTAAGGTGTCTAGCACGAAGGCCAGAGTCCAAACCCCAGTACAGCAAATAAATAAAAATAAAGGAAATAGAAATTAAAATGAGTTTATGGAATATTTAGTGCAGTGTCTTGCCTATAAATATTAATCATTATTTTTCAAAGGCAAATAGAAGTCCTTTAACTACTGTTAGGTCATTTCTCCT